AGCAGGCCATCTGCTATCATTCTTCGAGGTAGATATTATCATCTTTTATTTATACAATGAAGAAATCAAGGCTTAAAGAGGAGAATTATTTAGTATATATCTGATATTTTTAGCTGTATTATTATAACAAATATAACAAGTATAGTAATACATATTATAATATTAAATATTATAATGAATATAATAATACAGCTAAAAATGGCAGAGCCAAAATGCAAACTTAGATTTGACTTCCAAGTTTGCATATTTAGAGCTGCCTCTTATCCTCAGTTTGGCCCTTCCCCACATGAGCAGTCCAGGTCCTAAAATTCCTTCTTTGTGATGTGCAATTTATCAGCTATATATGATAACATTTGGCTTTAATATTCTCATCTTAGATGACACCAATGCCACATTCATCTCAAGTAGTCACTTCCTAGCATTTTACCAAGAGCCTACAGACCAGGATTCTGTCCCTACTTTATCCCATCACTAGCTAGGTGACCTTGGGTGGGGTCTTCAGATTGGGGAAGACTGTGCACCTAAAGCAGGAACAGGATTAGGTGTAATCTTCTGGGGGTTAAGATTTCTCAAAAACCTGGTAACATTTTATTTAAGGTGAATTCTCAGATCATAAATATATTTGTATCATAATATAAAATCAAAATTTAAACTAAAGGAGTAATAAGTCAATAAAATCTCCCTTCCCTGCAGGCTGGGGTTGTGGCTCAGTGGCACAACGCTTGTCTAGCATGTGTGAGGCACTGGGTTCAATCCTCATTACGACATATAAATAAAATAAAAGGGGCTGGGGCTGGGGCTGAGCAGTAGAGCACTTGCCTCGTACATGTGAGGCACTGGGTTCAAAACTCAGCACCACATAAAAATAAATAAAAGATGTTGTGTCCATATACAACTAAAAAAAATTTTTTTTAAAAAGTATTGTGTCCATCTACAATGAAGAATATTAAAAAAAAAAAAAAAAAAAAAAATCTCCCATTCCCTGTCACTGTACTAAGTGAAACCTAACATCATAAGTTACAGGAAAAGAAAACTACCAAAAATGTCTTAAATAGTTCCTATTATCTTGTGAGATTTAATATCAATTCCAAGAGTTCCCTAAATTCACAAGACTTAGAGAATTCTTCTAAGAACAGCAAAACATTTTCACAGTTTATCAAAATGGACTGTCAATGGACTGTCCAGACAAAGAAACATAAAAACAGTTTGGGCTTTAACCAGCACAATACCACCAATTAAAAGTGAATTAATTAGTTAATAGGCAAAGCAGCAAGGAATTAAAATAACTGTCCTGAGAGGGCTATAAAATCAATTTGACTTCTCAGTAAAGAGAAGAATGTGAACAGTTATTTAGTAAATGTAAAATGTACATAGTACCACACCTCTATTTCACTGTAATTGAAAAGCAGTGATAAGAGGCAGGTCTATATATAAAAAAAAAATTTTAAAGAGCAGGGTGTCAGGTAAAGACATCTAACCAGTTTAGTAAAGATAGATTTATGCCAATTTTTTTGAACAGTGGGATGTGACTATTATGTGAAGCTTTTTAAAAACTTTGTACCAGTGTTACTTAAAAAAAAAATCACTTATTACTAAACTGTCTCTGGTACAAGATCAGGATGACACAGAATACCCATGGATATCTGTTAATATGGTAGCAATGATTATCAGGTGAAATGTGGTACCATTATACACACTATGTCAATTCTTAACTTTTTACAAACCCTTTTGTGAATCTCCCAAAACAAACTCTACTCAGAAATGTCCATTAAGGTCTTGTCTATAATTTATTTATTTTTTAAAATTTATTTATCTCTTTTTTATTTTATATATAACAGTGGAATGCATTACAATTCTTATTACATATATAGAGCTCAATTTTTCATACCTCTGGTTGTATACATAGTATACTCACACCAATTCGTATCTCCAAACATGTACTTTGGATAATAATGATCATCACATTCAACCATCATTAATTACCCCATGTCTCCTCCCTTTACCTCCCCGCCCCCATCGGAGTTCGTCTATTCCTCCCATGCTCCTTCTCCCTATCCCACTATGAATCAGCTTCCTTATATCAAAGAAAACATTCAATATTTGGTTTTTGGGGATTGGCTAACTTTTCTTAGCATTATGTTCTCTAACTCCATCCATTTACCTGCAAATACCATGATTCTATTCTCTTTTATTGCTGAATAATACTCCATTGTGTATATATGCCTATAATTTAAAAGGCTACAGACCAGGCTGGGGTTGTGGCTCAGCGGTAGACCACTCACCTAGCACATGAGAGGCCCTGGGTTCAATTGTCAGCACTACATAAAAATACATAAAATGTTGTGTCTGGCTACAACTAAAAAATAAAGACTTAAAAAACAAAAAGGCTATAGACCTTATGAAGTCTTTGTTTAGGCGCCCCCTGATAAGAATCCTAGGAATGAAAGAAGCTCTAGATAGCTTCTTAGGAAATATGGCTTCTATTTGTGGTCCCTTACCTTCCTACCGAAATGTAGTCAAATTTAACCCGTTTGGATCAGTTTCCTCATCTGATAAAGATGATATTTCTCTTTTTTAAGGGCTGAATAATATTCCATTTCATTTAAACATATTTTCTTTATCTGCTGAGTGTCATTTAGGGTATTCCCATCTTTTGGCTATGCATGGACTTTTTTTTTTAACAATAACTATATATGCATGGGGTACAATGTGATGTTTTGATATATGTATATAAATGTATTATCGAAAGATTAATCAAGTAACTTAACATGGCATCACTTTACCTACTTATTTTTTGTGATGAGAACATTTAAAATCTAATCTTTCCGCAATTATTATCTGACCCATGCTACAACATAAGGATATTATGCTAGGTGAAAGAAGTCAGACATAGAAGGACAAATACTGAATGATTCTCACTAGAACTGGAAAATTCTTGGAGGTAGAAAGTAGAACAGAGTTTACTAGGGGCTGGGGAAAGAGACTAAAAGGGAAGTTAGTACTTTATGGGTATAGTGTTTTGGTTTGGGGTTATGAAAAAGTTCTGGAAATGGATAGTGGTGATGGTTAAACATCATTGTGAATCATACACCTTAAAATGATTAAATTTTATGGTATATGAATACACACCAAAAAAAACATAGGGAGTAGCCAAAAAAAAAAAAAAACCTGTTTGAAATTCTAGCAAAGACTGCCGGTACCACAGTAAGACGGAGGGATTTGGAGAATCACCTCCTTATCATTTCTTAATTACTAGCTGTGACTCAGCACTTTTTCTAGGCTTCAGAGCAATAACAGTTCAGAAGAATTCAAATTAAGAGCTAGATTTGCAGCAAGATGCTCATACTCTCCTATCAAAGTCCTCTACTTGGAGATTTCTCAAGTTGGTTTTCCCTTACCTCTCTCCCTTCAAAAGAAAAAACTGGTTTTTCCACATTTAACAGGGCAGTTAAAGTAAGCAAAAATTCTCCAAGAATAAACATACTCTAGTTTTCTTAAAGCTGTGCTGCAATAACAGTCTTGTGACATCCCCTTCTAAGCATTATAACGAAGCTGTTGTAATCACTGTTTCCCCATTTTTGGATGGCAATCCTTAACCAACTCTGCTTCCCAGAAAGCATTCTGAGCTATAAAATCAAATTTAGAGGAAGTGCATTTGAACTTCACAACAGTATACAGAGTTAATTGTTTCATCTTCTGGAACAATACCTCCCTACCTCCCTTCCTGAGACCATCAGGCAAACAGCAGAATGAATCCAATCTCTGGCCAGATGGGAAGTACGAAGGAGTGGAACATATCACTCTCTGGAATACTGTCACACGGAAGCTCAGGTATCCAAAGCTCATTTGAGATAAAGAAAGCTCCCTCTACCACCATTGTATCTGTAGCACCCATCAGAAAGCTGTCTGCAAAGAAGCTTCCATCTGGCTTGACTGAGAAAGTTGTAAGTTTGAAAAATGAAAAAAGAAAAAACTGTCTATATAACTGTAAGTAGCATTACACTCTCAGATGTCTTCACAGTCCTTCCACACACTACCTTCTTCACACACTGCTAAAAATGATAAAATATAAAATTTAACCAAATTGAATCTGGCATGCACAAATATCTGAGAATTTGGGAAAACTGCCTCATTTTAGAAGGGTCCTTCAATCATTAAAGAACACGGATGGTTTATTCTTGTTCGGATAATGTGGTAGAAAATATGATACACATAAAACTAATAGAAAATATATTAAATAACAGAACCTTCTTAAAGTTTCTGACTTTTATAAATATTCCAATTAAAAAGTGTTGGCTGCTCCAATGTGCTTATTTCCCTATTTATACAAGGAAAAGAAGAAATAAATAAACCAAACTCTTCAAATGTTTTGACTAACAACCATCCTCCAAAGGCCTCTTTCTTTAAAGAGTCAGATCAGAATTGAAACGATCGGAGCCAGAGACAAACAGGATTTCCTACTGCATGATTCCTAAACAATTCAGCCAGCTTTTTACTGATATTCATATTAAGAGACCATTGCTCTCAATTTTATTCACAGAAATTACATTCAAACCAAAATTAAATTGTTTATAATATTTTCTATAAGCAGTTATAATATGAAAGTAATACTTCTGACTAATCTTTCAAGTCTTAAGATATACCAGAAAAAAAAAAAAAGTGGATTAGGAAAACTTTCCTCTTATACAAAACCAAGATGAACCCTATACATTGGTAATGCTCTGTTACCCCCAGAGAAAAGATTAATTCTGAGTGTCTGGTAAAATGTAAGAGGTAAGAAGCAGGGAAGCAAATGGCAATAACTTACGTTTGTGTCCCTCAGATATTGAAGCAGTCAGTAGAAACAAGCTTACAAACCTCCAGGAGAAGGCAAGACACAGGGCTGAGATGGTAATTCATGGCAAGCTCACAGGCAGATGATACCAAGTGGGTGGTACCATTATGAATCAGGAGGTGGAGCTGGCAATGGATGTGGGGAGGGAGAGAGAATAAGCACTCACTCAGTTAGAAGCTGGTGTAGCTGGTGATAACCTCTCTCCAAGGCCAAGCTCACAGGTGTTGCCCCTTCCTGGTTGTGGATGCTGAGAGCTCCGCGGCCACCCGGCTTCTGCAACAGGAACCATGTCAACCGCAGCAGTCCCAGCCGCACAGCAAAATGCATCAATGTCTCCCGGGGGCCACCATCTAAATTGGGAGAACATGAAAATAAATAAGAATATCAGAAGGGGAAAAAAAAAAAAAAAAAACAGGACAAGCAAACAAACAAAAGACAAGTAAACACCACTACCTCCAAGTGCCTGATATTTTGAAGGTAAGCTATTGCACACAGCACGAAGACCTTTATTGAGGTCAAGTAGACTCGACCCCAAGTAAAGACAAAAGAAAGCTAGAAAAAAGTATGGGAAGTAAAATCTTACATAGGAGACGTTCCCACAAAAAGAATCAAGTTCTTTCTGTATTTTAACATTTGTTCAACAAATTTCACAATGAGGTTTATAAAGATGACTTCACACATGTTCTTTTCCTTTAAAAATACAAATAAATAATAAAGGCAGTCACACAAGATGGGACACAAGGAGAATAGCTGTTAGGACTTAGAATGGATGTATCATAAAGGGTGTAATTACATTTGAAAAGAACACCCAGACAAGAGTTGGCTAGTTAAACACTAAAAACAGGTTCTACTTGTTAAGTACACACAGGTCTTTTTATTCCCTGACATTAAGGGCACATGAAACGGCTGGCACTGCCAGCTTTTTGTTTGTTTGCATGTTTAATATGAAAAATAAATGCATCTGCGGGCATAATAAGACAGACAATACGCTAATAATTTCAGAAAGAAAAACATGTGCTTGGGGTTCTTCCACTTGAAACGAAGGCTCCTTCTTGGTATGAGTCACTATGAAAATGGTGGAATAAGCAAGGACTTCGGAGTCAGACAATTCTGGGTTCAAACCTGGTAGTTACCAGGCATGATTCATTTGCCTCTCTGAGCCTCACTTTCTTCATTCCTAGAGTAGTAGACCATCACTCAGAGATGTTGTTACAAATGAGAGGAGGCAGGTGAAATGTTAGTCTAATGACTGGCTGCAGCATGTACTCATTAAATGTCAGTTCTCCTTCTCCCTGCTCTCTGCCCAGTCCTCCTAGACTTCAAGTCACTTTCTGGGTTCACTAGCAACACCCTCTTCCTCAGTCATGCTCTTGACAGGACATAAGGCCACTTCAGGGCTGCTGAATGTCACCCCAAGAGGCTGTGCATTACTCAACTCCAGGGTTGGGCCTGCCTTCTTCCTCATGTCTTAGCTTTCACATCTCATTCTCCTGGCTTCCTTTGGGCCTCAACTTCTTCACTGAGCCCTAGGTTCAATCCCAAGTACAGGGGGGAAAAAAGTTGATGCCCCATTACATGTGCAAGTACAAACTGTAATAATCAACACGTCTGAGGAGGTGGGTGGCAAGGACAGAAAGAACTCTCACAAAAAAATCAAACATTGTCATCTGACTTATGCTTTACAGTCGCTCACAAGCATTCTGACATTCCTATCAAAAACTAAGGTACGAATGAGGCACTTACTGACCAGGAAATGTGACAGTTTTCAGAGCTGGTTAATTCCAGCCTTAAAGGGAGATTAATACTTCCTTAAAGTAGATTTCTCCCCTCCCCCCTACCATTTTTAGTCCCTTATCTACTCCAAGTCAGTTTAGACTTTGAGTCACGAAATTTCAACAATAAGGCCGCATACCTGCTCAGAACCTGGCACCCTGATCCCTACACTAATCCTCCTCTAGTCTCCTTCTGAAGTTTTCAGTAATAGGTGCCACATCTGCTTTTAGCTAGCCTCATTCTGCAAACAACAGATTGAAAAAAAGTAATATGCAGTGAGGAACTGCTACGTTCCATTTAGTGGGATATGTAGTTTATACCAACATTTTCCCTTCTATTCTCACAATAACCCCATATGGTCTCACTGTCTTAATTTTGCAAATGAACATAAGTTCACAGAATTAATAGCTTGCCCACAACCAAAACGAGGATTTGAAAATTCTTCTATGACATGCATTACACATGTCAGCTTATTTAAATGTTCCCTTCTTCATTTTCCACACATTATTTTATCTTCACATAAGTCATCTGAATTAGGTTTGTAGAAGAGGTAGCCAAGGTACAAAGGAATTAACAAATTAACATATAAGTGGAATTTCTTCTAGTCTGTATTGTTTTAAGGGCATAAAAGCCCCACTCCTTGGTATTTTCCCAAAAGACTTAAACTCCACATACTATAGCAACACTGCCACTTCCATGTTTATAGCAGCACATTCACAATAATTATGAGATCAACCCAGATGCCTGTCAATAAATGAAAGGATTAAGAAATTGTGGTGTATACAAACATACACAAATGGAGTTCTACTCAGCCATAAAAAAGAATTAAATTGGGGCTGGGGTTTTAGCTCAGCAGCAGAGTGCTTGCCTGGCGCACGTTGAGGCACTGGGTTTGATCCTCAGCACCACATAAAAGTAAATAAATAAAGGTATTGTGTCCATCTTTTAAAAAAAAAAGAATTAAATTATGTCATTTGCTGGTAAATGGATGAAAATGAAGAATGTGATGCTAAATGAAATAAACCAAACTCAGAAACTCAAAGGTCAAATGTTCTCTCATATGCGGAAGCTAGGTAAAATAAAGGAAACAGTGGGGAGAAGATAGGATATTATAAAGAACTGATCAAATAGAAATTAATAGATGAGCAAAAAGTCAAGTAGATAAAAAAAAATAGGAGAGGGGAAGGAGGATGGGAGGAAAGGGGGAGAATCATCAACTGAAATCAATTTCCATGAATGTATGAGGTTGTTGGAATGAACCCAACTACTATGTATAACTTTAAAGCTCTAATTTAAAAAAAAGTATAGAAACTTTTACCCAAATTACTATCTTTAATACTGTTTTTTGTTCCTTCTGTCTCAAACTGCAAATCACCAATAACTCATGATAAATCCCCAATTCTCTATTCTCAGTTTCTGTATTTTCTCTTTAACGATTTGTGATTATTCCCCCCGTATTCTGAGAGCTACTCAACCTTTTTTTCCTGATCATTAACTGAATTTCCTACAAGCTCAATTGAGTTCTTCATCTCAATGTGAATTTAATTATGCCCTGGGATTCTGGGTGTCCTTGCAGCATTTCTACCAACTCCCTCTCCATCTATGCCCTTCCGATAGCTTCTTTTGCAGATGTAATTAATTAAAGCTCTTTTATCAATTGATTTCATAAGGGAGATTTATCCTGGTAAACATGGGGTAAGACCTGAGTGAATCAGTTGGAATTCTTTAAAAGCAGAGCTTAAAAATAAAAAAGGTAAAATAAAAGCAGGGCTTAGTTTTACCCTGGAGTAAGGACCTTGTCTATGGAGGACACCTTCAGCCTATGCCAATGCCTATGGAATTCCACTCTGCTCAGGATCTCCCTTTTCTGAGGACCCAAGGACAATAGGTTTGGCCCATGTTGGTGGATTTGACCTTGTCCACTTATTTAGCCAGACTCCCCAGCTATTCATGAATCTTTAAATGTTTATTTCCCCTTCAGTTTTCCTTCTCTAGTTGAACCCTGACTCTTGAAACCTACATCTTGTTGCTTCTTTATCTTAACTCTATAAAAGGTCTGACTTCTTTGATCTTTTAAGACAAATGAAAAGTGTCTTCTAAATTTTGCTTTGGTTTCTTAAAGAAAACCATTCTCACAGTATTCCACATGAATACTTACGATATTTTTTTCTTTATACTAAATGGTATTTCACTGGACCCATGCTGGCAGGTTATCCTGTTTAGGCCTCTCTGAAGGCCTAGCTTTTCTGCACAGAATGGGATTCCAAAATCACCATTCATTCTTACTATTCTGGACTGCCTCATAAATAAACCTAAAGTCTCATATAATGCAGGAATTCTCACACTAAATGAGAAAGTAAAAACACTCTTAATTTGACAGTGTGACAAAAGGAACTTTTTCTAAAACAAGACTTATAACCCTGTGACAAAACGAAGATTTGAGAAGCAACAAAACCTTTTACAGCTTACCCCTGGTTGCTACAGGGTACTGCTTGTCTTGGAGTCAGTAGTTCTTAATTCTTTGCCAAGGAAAAAATCCATTACCAGTCTTTTTATATTTTACTGTTTTCTTCTTTAACAGTGATGATAGCTGAAAAAACTGACAAGTACTACCAGTGCAGCTAAAGAAAACCTTCCATGAAAAGCTATCCCATACTCTAAAAAGACTGCTAGAACTAAAGCACCAAAAGATTAAGGTGGAGGATCTACTAACCAAAATCAGACATGTAGAAGTGGGAATGCACAGACTGTTCTCAGAGCAGTCTTTCTTAAACCTGTCATCTTTCTGTCCAGCCAATTCTCTCATTGTGGGGAAGATTTCCACCCCCAAAGATGACTACATCTTTTTTTTCACTTAGTTATACAATAACATTACTAAGTAAGAAGGAACACTTTCCCCGGGCTATTTCTCTTTGATTCCTCTAGATCAAGTCTTCAATGGGCCCACTCTAAACTATCTGAGAGTCAAGTTGATTGCTACTACACAGAGGTCTCAAATGAGAAACTATTCTCATTAGCCACGGAGGCAATGAAGAACTGAAACAACTAAATGAGACTTGGAAAACTCAGAAAATGAGAACACCCTTGTCCCCCAATCATCCTCCCTCTCTCTATCAAGAATAATCCTTATTATCTGCATTTAAGGCAGATCTATGACCAAAAGTATAGTATAGGGGCTTCTTTATATAACTAGGGATTGGGAAACACTTGGAAGAATTAAAATGGATAAACTCACTCTTCCTCTATTTGAAAGTAAGGATTAACATGAGCTCTGAGTCCAGCAAAACAGTTTCATTTTGCTTTGAAGAGTCTTTTAGGGCTGTCCTGTTTCATCCTTTCAAAGGACATACCACCATCCATTGTCATGGCTTATCAGTGTTTTGTGTGTCTAAAAGGTTACTGGATGTTGGTCACAATATGTTTGAAATGACTACCCTGGAAACCAGCACACACTATCAAACTATACTTTCCTCTGTTTTATAGTAAGGAAACTGAGTAATAGTGATATGGTATTTTCCAAAAACTATGGCAATAAAACCAGGATGTAAACAGTCTGATTCCAACACCCATGTTCTTTCCATTTTAAAATATCACATCTAAACCAAGGCTTCTTAATTCCATGTTCACAACTAAAGTTCAGGGAGACTGTAAAAATTAGTACATGTTAATGCTTGCAGGAAGATACCTATTTGTATTTTTTTTCTGAGGAGAAATCTGAGCTATTTTCAAAGGAGTCACTTACCTGAAAAAAAGCCAAAAAGCACTGCATCTCAACAATTAAAGAGGATTAGCCATAAATCTTACATGATTCCTTTGTCTGTGTATTAGGTTGGGACATCCGTAAACATCCCAGCCTTCAACAGCAAGTATTTCTCTTATGTAATGAGGTACCCTATTTACCTGTATTTTCCCAGGCACCAAGCTTACTTCATACCTTTTTCTTTTAAATACCCTTTTAAAAGTAACTAAAGTGAAAAGTGACTGATGTGAGCAGATTATCCCATTAGTTTCATCCCTCAATAGCAAGCATGATTAACTCTTTAAATGGTGTTACTCTGCCCTGATCACACCAGTGCAGTGTTCTTAGATTCCAATTCACAACTAAGAGAACAATCTAAACTGCAAGGTACATGGAGCACTTGAAAGCCGATTCCTGATCCTAGCTGGACTTGCAGTTCTATCAAGTTCTTTGTGTACATTTCATATTGAAAGTATTCAACCTAACTTGTTTAATTATTTTTGTTACTAAATTATTTTAAATGTATGTAAAATAAAATAACTTTTAGAAGGTGTACAATTCTATGAATTTTACCACATATACTCTTTTTATTTATTTATTTTTTAGTTATACATAACAGTAGAATACATTTTGGCGTAATTATACAAGCATGGAATATATTCTATCTGCTTCAGACCCAAGTACCTCTCCTTCCCCTTCCCTACCTTTGCTCTCTTCCTTCTATTGATCCTTCTGCCATTTGTCCATAGTTATTATTATATTTTTAATTAATTTCCTGTGGATGTACAGGACGGTGAGATTCACTGTGGTATACTCAAATATAACACATAGATTCTTATACCACTACCACCAACAACAAGATACAAAATAACTTCAATGCTCCTAAAGAATTCCCTCCTCATAATACTCCTTTACAACCAGACTTTTACCCTAATCTCAACTCTGGTAACTACTGATGTCTTCTTGGTTACTTTAATGGTGCTTTTTCCAGAATGTCATGTAAGTACATTACTTTTGGAAAGTGACTTTTAGTTAGCACAATGCATTTAAAATGTATCCAAGTTACTGCACATTATCAATAGTTTGTTCCTTGTTTATTGCTGAGTAGTATTCTGATGTATAGATATATCACAGTTTGTTCACATATTCAGTCAGAGAGGGAGACCTGGGTTATTGCCCCTTTTGGTGATTATGATTAATGCTGCTATAGACACATTTGTACACAGACTTTTTAGTGAATGTAAGTCTTCATTTCTCTAGGATAAAATGCCCCAAAGTGGGAATGCTGGATCTTACTGTAAACATACATTTAACTTTTCTTTTTTTTTAAATGCTGAACTTTTCCAGAGTTGCAGTTCTACTGTGCATTCCCACCAGCAGTCTATGAGAATGTACTACATCCTTGCCAGCACTTAGCATCTTTAATCTTAACTATTCTAATATGTGTATAATGGTACTGTATTATGGTTTTCATCTTAAAATCCTGCAAGTATTCAAATCTTGTTTATTCTTTGCTGACACTGCTTAAGCAATTTTGTACAACATAAAACTTTAGGAGTACATGGAAACTACACAAAAAATTAAAGATGGCCAGTTTCCTCCTATTAAAGACAAGGAAGCTAAGGTCCAGAGAAGAAAAGTGATACAGTCGAAGTTTAAGACCTCTGCTATTTCCAATAGTTCTTTTAATCTTTTTAACGTGAACAAATTAATTCCTGATCCTATTTTTAAAAAGAGAAAGCAAAACCATAAAAGTGCCATTAGCTCCAGAAATAATTAACACAGTTCTATTTAACTTGATACTGATTTGTAAAAGTCATTCCCACTTTAATACAGAAATGGCAGAAACTACAGGTTTTAGGGCACATCATTAGGTTTCTAATTAGGTACTCAAGTACTCAGACCTCAAGATATTCTACTTAGTAAAGCAGAAGTTTCTTGGATGGTATATAAATTTAAAAGGGATTGGGGGTGCCTTCTTTCTTGATTTTTATAGTACAGACTTTTCCTTTATATATAACCTCGAGAAGCCTGACTTGGTAGCATCTGACCATAGGCCTGACACAATTCCACTGGTTGATCACAGGCTTGACTGTTAAATTCCATGGATTTAAGAGACTCAGTGCTAGCAGTACTTCTTCACCATTCTTTCCTGGAAGGAATAATCAACTTACCTGACAGGTCTGAGAGAGCAGGAACTGGGCATGCCTTGCTTAGTCCTATCTGGGCAATTCTCCTCAAGAACTGCTCACCTGTAGAAAGGGGGACTTCTGGTCTGCTGGACCTACACAGCACAATAGTCAAAGATAGGTAGACTCTGAAGGCAGAGTGTGACTGTCCACTCTTCTAGAGATGACAGAGAAAGCCTCTGGCAAGCCTTTCTGGAAGCTCTGAGGTCAGTCTTCCAATCTTGTTTTCATATGTATTAAAGCAAACATTCTGAACTGTCTCTGTGAGAACCTAAATTTTTCACTGGATTTGCACTCAGCAGAGAAAGATGTTGTTATTTAGGGATCCCAGGTATATATTATATTTCAGTGGAAAAAATATTTGTGTAATTATAACATCTAATAGATGTCATCTGCTACAAGAGTAATTATGTGGGAAACCCCTTGTGATTCAGAAGACCTATGTATATACCAATTATATCAGTGTTTCTAAAAAGCAGAGGCCTTTACTTAAAGAATTTTTATATGGAAGGCCAGTACACAAAATCAGTAAAAGTGAAACTACCCTGGTTAAGGAACTGTAGGCTTCTCAAAGCTTATCCCACTTTCATGTTCCCATGGCATACTCCTCAGTCCTCTTTTCCTCCAACTTTGTACAATCTTGAGAATTTCAGAACACAGTAAACCTGGTCTTGAATAATGAAACACCAAACGGTTACTCTGCTACTGTTCTAATGAAAGGCAAACCTCTGCCTTTGTTTGAGAAGTGCTAGACCACTATCCATGTGGGTACCTTCTCTTGGGTCACTTCACTGGTAGGACAAGATTAACAGCTCAAAGAACCTTGAAAAGATGCCTTCAAGACTAATTTGCTACAGTAATTTTAAGGGAGAAGTACTTCGATATAATAACCATACAAAAGCAGTCCCATACAAAAACAGAAATGTTCTGAACTCAGTTTGTGGATCATGCAATTCTCACCATGCAAAGTCTGATCTGTCCCCAAAACATTCCACTCTGCTGGCAGCTTCAAGTGTCTGAATGCCAGTGCAACCTTCTCATCAAGGGAATTCACATCCCCAGATGGGGGTCCTGACCGGTCAAGAAAACGAGTGAAGTTCAGAGCCTGCTGATTTCCAGCACTGGTTGCCAGAAATTGAGCTGCGTCATATGCCTCATCCTGGACAAAATGGAAGTCTTCTTCAGCTACCACAAACACAGGCAGGCCCTCTTTGGAAGCACACAGCAGCACCTTCACTGTCTCACAGCAGTCATGACCTAAAGAAAGCACAGATGACCACGAAAATAGTATTAGACTCCCCTGATGAAAGAAGGACACCAGTGGGTCATCTTATTAGTTCTTTTTTTTTTTTTATGACACACAAATTTTTCTCTTTCTAAAAGAAATCCCTTCTTCCTCTGAGCTCTAATAGTACTTTTTTCATCAAATTTCTCAAAACTTGTTTTCAGAGCTGGGATGTAGATCAATGGTAGAGCACTTGCCTAGCATGCCTGATTCCCTGTTCATTCCCAGCACCATTAAAAGAAAGAAAGAAAAAAAAAAAAAGCAGAAGCAGCAGAGAAAGGGGATGGGGGGAGAGTGGAGGGGAAGAGGAAGTACTAAGGATTGAAATGGGGAAAACTATGTTATATGCATTTTATGACTATGTCAAAATGAACCCCACTATTACGTATAACTATTAAGAAAAACAAAGGACGAACTACATTTTCAGGTTTTTAAATTGTTACTTGAAAACATCAATGAGTTTCCTGTAACAGCAAATAATTGTGTATCCCAGTTTTCACTATAACTACAAAATGGTATTAGTCATACAGTAGGCTGTTGAATATCAACTATTGCTGTTGAATTTTAACAAATTAAAAAATGAACGTTCTGGGAATCTGTTAAGGCCTAGCATATGATGGAAAAAAGTCAAATACCTACTAAGCTGAATTAGATTTGAAAACATAATTGGGAAAATTATCATTCACAGGAATATGGAAGGAATTTTACAGATTCCCCAGCATGTGTTTCACTATGACTGCAATGTAATAAATCAAACAATGAAGCCCTTTAAAAAGTGCAAACCTACTTTATTTTACTTTACATTATTAGCAAAGCAAGGCCTAAAAAGTAAATAACAATATTTTTTACTGTTTTCATATAAACACTTTTTCTTCCACTACTAATGTGGTGAGAACTTCAATGGAATCATTTGGTTCCAAATGAAAGTGTAATGCCGTGGATAGAAGCCCAGTTCAAGAGAAACAAACATGCTAAGGACTCTGTGGTATCCACTGTCCAGACAGGCAGGTACCTCATGAGCTCTGACTTCAGACAACAACCTATATGCTACCCCAAAGAGCCAAATTAGCAACACAATGTTTCTGTAGGTAAGGCATTCTTGGAGGATGAGACTTTTTTCTAGACCTAATCATTCAAAATTAAATATTTCCAATATGCAGAATGTATTCAAGTAAACACACACTGTCTTTTCTCAACTTTCAACAAAGATCTCAACTACCACAACTAAGTTGCTCCTACCATTATCACTCTTCTCTCATTATTCCACTCTGTGGTCCAAGATTTGGAGTTTCCATACCATGGGCACAGGCCAATACATATTTCAGACTCAGACAAAACAAACTAAGATTTCTGCTGTCTTTGAAAGAGAACAATGTCCATTGTCAATCACAATGGCAAGTTATGATTTTTCCACATACCTTCACCCTTGCAACAAAAGGAAAATCTCTCACTGCTATGTAATTTTAGGATGTTAACATGTACTAAGAATCTACTATATACCAGGTATCTGACAAGTAATTTTTTTTCTACATGACAATTTTATAAGGTATATATTGTCTTCATTTTCTTTTCTTTCTTCTTTTGTATTGAGGATTGAACGCAGGGGTATTTTACCACTGAGCTACATACCCAGTTCTTTTAATTTTAAAACAGGATCTGCTAAGATGCAAAGGCTGACCTTAAATTTTTGATCCTCCTGCCCTGGCCTCCTTAGTCACTGGGATTATAGGTGAACACTACTGTGCCTGGCTTTCTTCACTTTCTTCACTTTATAGATGAGAAAATGGACACTTCCAAAATTAAAGGAACTTAAACCATGGTTACACAGATACTAAGAAGTAGAATTCATTATTCAAAGTCAAGGATGATGCCAAAGGACATGCCCTTTCACATCATGATGCAAGGGTATTGTATCATATTATCCATCAACAAAGGGGGTAAGGTAACAACTAAGCTCCTCCCTGAAAGGAGCCTGACACTTGCAAAGCGACAGGCCAGTATGACTAGTAATCAAGAATGACATGTTCACAAGTTGTAAAGATCAGTCTTCACACAAATGTAATTCCAGAGGATATAAACAGTGCCTTCTAAGTTTCTATGAAGGATATAAAAAGCTAAAGCATCTCCTGCCCAATATGTGCATACACATACATATGTGCACACTCCACTTCAATTCAATATATATATATGTAGAATTTGTACCTTGAATATATTAAGTGAAATTAGAGAAAAATTTAATATTTCTTTAAAAGGTAGTCAGCCTAATTACAAAAGCATCCATGTCAGCAGAAATTAGCCAACCAATCTAAGTAGTAGGTTTGTGTATTTCACTGGCAGAAAATATTTCTTTTAAAATATTCTATAATATCTCGCTCAGTTCTGTTCAATAACTAGTAGCTGGACAGCCACAAAGTTCAAGCATCATGATTAGAAGGTGAAGATGAGTAAGGGAAGAGTCTCAATTCTCCAATGCTTTATAATTCACAGGAAAGACTCCAACAAGCTACAGTTAACTGCAATGTAAATTAAAACTGGATGTGCTCTGTAAGAAACACACAGTGCAACTAGGGGATGGGGAAGGAGTACATTTCACCAAGGAAGCAGCAGTTAAGAAGGACCCTTCACACGCACACTGTCCCGAAGTCTCTCAACCCAGGGATTCTTCTCTATAACCCTCAGAACTAAGGTGTTTTATTCTTTTTTCTCTTCTTATTCATTTAATAAGAACTTACTTGCCATGAGCCAGATACTATTCTCAGTGCTTTACAAATAACATCTCATAATAATCAGTAGGTATTATTATCTTTATTTGCCAAACAAAGAAAGTTAAACAACTTGCCCAAGGTTATAAATAGCTCTTACATGGCCAAATTAAAACTTGAATCCAAAGTTGGATTGTGCAGAAGAGACTGAGGTGAGGGGAGGAGAGGGAGTGTGAGAATGGGAAGGACAGTGGAATGAGACAGACATTATTACCCTATATACATGTATAATTACACTACCAGTGTGACTCTGCACCATGTACAGCCAGAGGACTGAGAAGTTGTGCTCCATTTGTGTAAAATGTGTCAAAATACATTCTACTGTCATGTATAATTAATTAGAACAAATTAAAAATAAAAACTAAGAATTTGATTCAAAGTTTCAATACTCTAGAATCTGCCTCTACACCCCAAATTAATGTATAAGAAAGATGGCCTAAAGAGTAAAATAAGACCTGGGCACAGTGGCCTAGGCTTTTACTACCAGCTACACAGGAGTCTGAGGCAGGAGGATTTCAAGTACAAGGCAAAGGCTGGCAACATAGTGAGACCCTGTCTCAAAATATAAAGGGAGGGGCTGGGGTTGTGGCACAGTGGTGGAGCACTTGCCTAGCATGTGTGAGGCCCTAGGTTCGATTCTCAGTACCACATATGAATAAATGACTAAAATAAAGGTTCGTCAACATCTAAAAAAAATCTTAAAAAAAAAATATAAAGAGAGCTTACGTAGTGGGGGGGAGGAGGGGGGGGGGGGAGGAGAAGAAAGAAAGGAAGGGAGGGAGGGAGGGAGGAGAAGAAAGAAAGGAAGGGAGGGAGGGAGGGAGGGAAAGGAAAAAAGGGAATAAAAACAAAACAAAAAGAGGGATGGTAAAAGAAAGGAGAGGAAAGGGGAGGGGAGGAAAGGGGAAGGGGGGGCACCATGGAAGAATCAATGAGAAAGGAATAAAAAACACATTCAAACCTTGACTAAAACGCATCTATATTCCGTTGTAGCTCTTACTCTGGGCTGCAATTCCTTCATTATAGCATGGGGGAGCTATAATGCTACCGGTACTGAGGTTTCTCCAATTGCAAGACTATGTATGGGTCATGCCAGGCAGAAGGTAAAGAGGGAGAAATGGTCAAGAAGGAAATAGCTTTAAAAATGTAAAATGTGCTGCGTGTGGTGGCACATGCCCATAATCCCAGCAACTCCAGAGGCAGATTGCAAATTCAAGGCCAGTCTCAGCAACTTAATGAGGCCCTAAGCAACTTAGTGAGAACCTATTTCAAAATAAAAAATGAAAACCATTTTAAGATGGGATGAGATGTGGCTCAGTGGTTAAGCACCCTTAGGTTCATCCCCAATACGGAGGGGAAAAAATAGTAAAAATGTAAAGCAAAGGGTAAGCTCAAGGGATAGAACTAATACTATGAGAGTGAGTTTTGGGAGAATATTAACTAAGCTACATCTAGATGCTTAGTAGACAAGAATTTCTTACTTATTAGCTATGTGGCCTGAGGTAAATGACAACCTAACACTATCAAATTGGGCCTCCTTAGCCTTATAAGTGGAGAGCTATAATTTGGAAGGACTCTCCCAAATTCTTTAATACTACCATTGAAAACAACGCACAAAGCCTCACTTCAATCCAAATTGGAAGGGGAGGGGGGTAGCAATATGTATTTCAGACAGAAGAATTCATTTAAAGACAAAAATGTTGTGATTGATTATAGCATTGCCTCATTGTTTCAGAATTAAACAAATTTATAAATTCCTGAAAGTTCTCTGAGGTAGATAGGAAAATCACTAACTTCACAATACCACAATAATGCTATAAATAACTTAGGATCCAAATTGAATTCTGCCATCATACTTATATTTGCTATGTCTTAGAAGAGATATTACAAGAACCTAAAATAATAATACCTACTGGCCTTACCCATGAAAACAGTCCTTATTCTTTCTTACCAATCTTCCTTCCCCAATTCTCTGTAAAGATTGAAAACCTGATTTAGAAAGGGAGTCACAATGCCACTAGAAGTAAAATCACCTCCTTGGCCAGGTGAGCTTGTGCATGCGTATAATGCCAGCTACTCAGGAAGCTAAGGAGGGAAAATGGCAAGTTCAAGGCCAGCCAAGGGACTCATTGAGACTCTGTCTCACAATAAAACTCACAAAGGGCTGGGGATCTAGATCAGTGGTACAGAACTTGTCTATCATGTGCAAA